AGGAGAGAGAGAGAGAGAGAGAGAGAGAGAGAGAGAGAGAGAGAGAGAGAGAGAGAGAGAGTACCCTCAATGTTAGTCCTTTTTAACCCTCCTCTCCTGAGGCGATCACCGCAGAAACATGCTGTGATCTCCAATTTCGAATTTACTAATCACGGCCAACATTCCAGGGTGAGCAAATCGGAAAGTCAGCAATTGCATTCCCATTCTTGCTTTTGGTCACTGCCATATTGCTACTGGCAATCAATTCAAATTTCGAATGCCTTTGGAGGAGAACATTCCTGTCTTCGTTGCTCCCAAAGCATTTCCCTGACAATGTCCCTGAGGCATAACCATTGCTATCCACCAAGCACCTGCCTGCAATCTTAAGCTCCCCAACATGATTGCCTGGGATCGTTAAATCCGTGGTTGTTTTCTGCCCTTTCCACAACAATGTATTTACCCTTGTGGCCTGTGTGGGAAAAGGTTTCACTTGCTCGTCAAATAGCACATCTGCAACGAATTGACGTTATTTTGCGATCACATGGTTATGTAGTCTGTGGACTGTCTACCCCTTTCATTATTACGATTGAGACTTCATACGAGTTCTAACTACTCCAGTGATATCAGTGGCCATTTCCACTCAACTTCACATGCTCGAATTACATTTATGAAATTTTATGTTGAATTCTGATCATACACACTATTACACAGTCAAAAACTTGACGAGACCGGGACGATGGTTCCAAAAACTGACAGCCTTAGTAACAAGGGCTGACATATTACAGCTACAGGATTTGAAAAGATCACGTAAGTCAGATGAGTACTGAGTCATGATTGTAAGTCTAACAGGCTAACTCAGGCAGGGGTGAGGTGTGGTACATCCGTCCTCCGGGAAGCAATCAATGACGTCCACTCGGGCCTCACAACCGTGATGGGGAGGAGCATGTGTGAGTACCTCTGTAATCCCTTTTGACTTGCCGGGGCAATGTAGGAGCCAGAACCAGAAGGTTCTGTATCTTTCAAAAGAAAAAAGAAAAAAAAAAGGTGTCCACCTTGGCACCAGTCCACCCAGTACAAGATACATCAAAAGAGGAGCAAGAATGGTCGTCTGTCAACAGCACTAGGCAGTTATGGCTGTGCCCTCATCTGGCCATCGTAAGTTGAGAAGCAAAAACGCTTCCCGTCTTGCTCGACTCCAATATACCAAGAATGAATTGACGTGCTGGCTGGCAGAAGTTTTGGCGGACGTGACACCTAGCCTCGAAGCCTTTCTGCCTACAGCCTAGTGGATGCCTAAAACCTCCGCCAAGGATCAAAACCCCGCAGTTGCACTGCAAAAAAAACGATTACAACTGCAGTGCAAGAAAAACGACTAACTAAAAAAAATCGAGTCCTATTGGACAGGGATTGAGTCCCACTCGCAACAATTACCCCAAGATGGCAAGAACGACAAAAACCACACGTAGTTGGGCTGCACCCAACAGAACTTCCGATTGACTGTCACTATGCTCACAGAGCCATAAGAAACCTTCAGCTCCTGCTGTCGGTCATGTCATGCAAACTGGTGGCAAGGACGGTGCAATACAGATCCTCAAATGACGAATATTAAGAGATGCATTATTACTGTATGTGATAGTGTGAGAGATTCCTTCAAATTTCGACTCAACCTCTATGTGTGCATTTGATCCTCTGTGTCGAAGCTTACCCGGACATAAGTAGTTCCCAAAAGAAGACCCAAGCCAATATGGAACATGATCCTCCCAACGCTGAAAATGCCGTTGAGACAGCAACAAAACAATTGGCATGCACAACATGGACCAAAAGAAAAGAAAAGAAAAGACAAAAGCATCAGAAAGAAGTTCATGCCAATCTTGGTTTCTAGAACTTGACACCTCTCCATACTCAGGAACTTGTGTTAGGGAAAGAAGAGGTGTATTCTTGTTTCTCAAGCGTTAATCCAGTTCATTGTGTCCGTTTTCCCTTAAGGTTATCACCTTTTCCATTGGTATCCTTTGAACATGATGTCGACAATTTACAACGAACGTTCACAGGAAAGAAGAAGAGAAAAAGGTTCGAATTCATTTAACATGTCGGTAACACACAGGATCTACAACCCCATGTAAATTGGCTAGATCTCCCTCCCTCCCTCCC